GGACAAATCATTAAAATTCTGAGTCCATGAGGGACTTGGCAGGCTTCATATGCTATAAATCTAAAATTTGATTCAGTCATTGATTAAAACACTCTTAAGCGTGAAGACAATACTTGAGTTCTGTTTCTTTTTTTTTTTTCTGTATCATGATCACCCTAAATAAATGGACTATTTATTGCCCTATGTGTTTGGTCTGCTATGATTTTCTTTTATGTAAATGACTTCTCATTTTATTTGTTCCTTTTAACTTTTGTCATTTAAGTAGCTTCAAAATATATGGATAACTGATATATTTTTTCTTTTGGTACCGGAGATCCAACTCCGGACCTTGCGCTTGCGAGGCAGGCGGTGGAACCACTGAGCTAAATCCCTGGCCCGATAACTGATTTTTTAATTCTTCCAAATTTATATGTCACTTTTATGTTTTGCCTGTAAAAGTGACGTATAAATTCAGAGAAGTTTCTTAAGGTCCTCTCTCCCCAGCAACATTGTCCTGTGTACTACTAGCGAATGCAGTGAGGTTTTAATCTGTACATGTTCATCTGCACATTCTAAGACTGGGAGTCTGTATCATGGTGGATACCACTAACACATATTTGAGTAGTTTTTTAGTCCATGCTTGACATAGGAAGTATAATAAAGTGCTTATTATCTGGGCAGAAAAATGATAAATTACAAAGTTATCAAACAGTATAGTACAATATATATTTAAGTGTTAAATTATGTGGCATAGACTGAATGATCCTTTTTTTTTTTTGATACCGGGAATTGAGCTCAGGGCCTTGTGCTTGCCAGGCAGGCACTGTGCCACTGAGCTAAATCCCGGGTTCCAGAACACTGTCTTTTAATGTGATTTGGGATAAAGGTAAGAAAATCACACCAAAGTGCAACTCAAAACAGGTAGTTAACACTATCTAGGGACCTTTATTGTCTGCATGCACGGTTCTGATGATGGTCCAGATTAATATGAAAATAACATCTAGAGTGTAGAGGAATGGAGACTGCATTCAGAAAATCTGATGTGTGGGTCATGTCAGAAACTTTGGGGGTGGCGATGTAGCTCAGTGCCACAGTGCCTGTCTGGCAAGCTCGAGGTCCTGAGTTCCATCCCTGGTACCAAAAAAAAAAATCAGATCCACTAGATTCTATGGCAAGGGTCTGAAACGTTTAAATATTTTGGGATTCTGACTGAGGGCAGGTCAAAGCTAGGCATTTGTGGTGTACACCTGTAATCCCAGCATACTGGGAGGCTAAGGTGGGAGGATTGTAACTCTGAGCCCAGCCTGGGCAATCTACCAAGATGCTGTCTCAAAATAAAAAAGGTCTGGGGGTGTAGCTTAGTGCAGTGGCCTTGGATTCAATTTAAAAGCCCGGCTAAGAGCAAAATAATAGCAGATGTCTATTTTGAGATGTTTTTGTGGAATTTAGGTTAACCAAAATGTTTTCAACCTGGTTTTTTCCCTACTGTCATGAAAGCATGTTTAGAATCAGTAGGCAAAAGAAAATGTTTTCTCCTTCTCTCTCTTTTTTTTTTTGAGTCTTCCTATGGATTCTGGGCTGGCCTTGAATTCACTATGTAGCCCAAGTTGGCCTCAAATTCATATGGTGATCCTCCTGCCTCAGTCTCCTGAGTGCTAGGATTGCAGATAGGTTTTTCCATGCCTGCCTGGCCCAGAGACATTTTAAAGAATGAAAGGAATCAGTGAATGGGAACTACTGTCTGCTGGGCATTTTTTTTTTTTCTTTCTTTTGGCAGTGCTGGGGATCAGACCCAGGGCTTGGCACATACTAGGCATGCACTTTATCATGGCCATTTTTGATGTGATAGTACTTGACTTATTAATCTCATTAACCTTGACAACACCCTTTATGGTAGGCAGTATTTTCACATTTTATGTAAAAGGAGAGGCTCAGAGGATGATTATTCTGACATAAGTCACATGTAGTGATGAATTGGAATGCCAGGCTCCAGAATTTATGTTCCACCTTATTGAGCTGGCTTCCAAGAAGCTGGAAAGGAGCAGGAAAACATAGGGCATATGACTGTGAATCCAGCACTCAGGAGACTGAGGCAGGTGGATCACAAATTTGAGACCAGCCTGGGCTGCATAGTTCAAGTTCAGCCTGAACTACATAGTGAGACCCCGTCTCCAAAACAAAAAATAACCTAGGAGAGAGAAATAATTGACCTTAAATTATCAAGTACCTAGTTAGACTTTCTCTTGTATACTTTTCCCTTTTCTCCATTACGTGCAAGAGACTAAAAACTTTTTTTTTGTTTTGGTACCAGGGATCAAACTTGGGTCCTTGTGCCTGCAAGGCAGGCAGCAGAACCACTGAGCTAAATTCCCGGCCCTAAAAACTTGCTTTTTGAGACAGAGTCTCACTATGTAGTTCAGCCTAGCCTCAAATTTGAGGTGATCCTTTTGCTTCCTGAGTGCTGGCATTTTAGGTGTGTACCACCACACCTGCTCAAGACTAAGAACTTTCTTTTCCTTTTGCTAACATGTTAACAGCTCCTCTATAGTTGTGGTGTAACTTACTCAAGCTTGAGTTTCCTCATCTTTTTGTTTGTTTATTTAAGTTGCTAGGGATTGAACCCAGAGTCTGCAGTGTGCTAAGCACATGTTCTACTACTAAGCTACACTTCTGCAAGTTTCCTTATCTTTAAACAGGACCTGTATTTCTTCCCTTATAAGGTTGAGCTGGAAACAAAATAAATAACCCACATGAAATATTCACCACATTGCCAGTTAGTTGACAGGTGCTTTGTAAATCCTGTTTTCCTGCCTCCTGAACTGACAACCTTCCATATGAAGTTTTCAGGACCTGGACAAACCATAGCCTACTCTGCTAGTTAGAGACTCATGATAATACCTAGTATAGTGGGTGCTCTGTAAACGTATGGTCAGTGAAGGAATGAATAGTAAGTAGATCTGCAACTTGCTGGCCCCAGTCATGCTGCTTTTCCTTTTGCTGGGATTCTTTTTTTTTAATGGTACTAAGGATTGAACCAAGGGCCTTGTACAAGGTAGGTGTACCATAAAGCTACATTCCTAGCTTTATTTATTTATTCAGCTTTTTAAAGACAGTCTCGCTTTATAGCTCATACTAGCCTTAAACTTACTATGTAGTTAAGGCTAGCCTCAAAGTCGTGGCAATCCTTTTGCCTCAGCCTCCTGAGTGCTGGGATTTGCACGTATGTGCCACCCTACCTGACTTTTTTATTTTGATGCAGAGTCTTGCTCAGTTACTCAAGATGGGTTTGAATTTGCAATCTTCCTGTCTCAGCCTCCCATGTAGCTGGAATTAAAAGTACATGCCACCATCCCCAGCCTTTTGCTGAGATTCTTGCAGAGGAGAAAGAAAAACAGTTGACTATAAGTCCCTTGCCTTATTCAAGGATTGGCTTCATTATCACTCATGACAATTTATTTATCTCAAATCTCTAGGGAAATAAAGAATTACTCTTCCTTCACTAAAACTTGGTTAGTATCTGAGTCAACATCCTCTGATTATTGTATATGCAGATTTACAATGTGACTGACCTGAGCCAGATTTCTAGAATGCAGAATTATCGCGACGTTCTTAAACACCTTCAGCATAAACCAGCTGTATTACCAGTGTGATTGTGAGCCTTGGCCATGTCCCAGAGTTATGGATTCTGCTGAACAGTCAATTGGTTTGAATCTTTCTATTAAAAATTTCTTGTTCAAATACAAATCTTCACTCCACAGTACTGAAAAATCTGAAACCAAAAGAAAGATTTCTCTATTCCTGGAAGAATGTTTTTACATTTTAGTGAAAACTAGAATTTTCTGTGAAGCTTTTCTCCTTCCTCCCTCCTCTCTTATGGAAAATGGGGATTGAATCCAAGGCCTCAAACTGAGCTACCTCCTTAGCTCTTTCATTTTTTATTTTGAGACAGGTTTGCTTATGCTGGCCTCGAGGTTGCGATCTCCTGCCTTGGCCTGCAGAGTAGCTGGGATTATAAGTGTAACTCACTGAACCTACCACTTTGAAATTTTTAAAACTATGAAGTCCTAGGCTTCTGGACTTTTGATTCCATATAGCGCACACTGGAGGGGCTGTGGAATGCAGTGGTTAAGAGCGGAACCTACACATCAGCTTTGTATCTGAGCACTGCTGCCTGTGTACCCATGGTCACCTGTCCCTCTGCCTCAGTTTCCCCACCCACAAAATGAGGGTAATAACAGTACCTGTCTCGGAGTTGCTCTGAGGGCTTAATGTATGTATAAATACACATAAATTTGTACATATGCATTGAAAGCAGTGTAGTGACTGACAGTTGGCTATTATTATGTATTGATGTCACTAAAACTGACTTGTCTGAATGTGGTTTGTTTTTTTTTTGAGATTAGGTCTCACTGTGCAGTTCAGGCTGACCTTCAACTTACTGTATAGCCTAGGCTGGCCTCGAATTAACAGCAGTCCTCCTGCCTCTGCCTCCTGAGTGCTGGGATTACAAGCCTGTGCCACCATGCCCTACTTGTCTGAATTTGGACTGTCAAAAATAATTGTTCTGTTTTCAGGCTTCAGCAGTGTCTTTTTTAAGAAATTAAATAGGGAAAATTCAGGACCTTTGCACTGAGCTACATTTTCAGCCCTTTATTTTTTATTTTGAGATAAGGTCGTACTAAGGGATTAAGTAGCTCAGGGTAGACTTGAACTCCTGTTCCTACTGCCTCAGCCTCCCAACTATATCCTCAGCCCTTTCTATTTTATATTTGGAGAAAGGGTTTCACTAAGTTGCTAAAATGCCCAGGCTGAATTTGAACTTGGCATCCTCCTGCCTCATCCTTCAAGAATGCCGGGATTTAGATCTTTGTTACTGGCCTGGTTGTGGTTTTCTTAATGATTTAAGAAAGTACCCCCTAACCTCCCTAGTCTTGAGTTTTGATTTTACATTTTCTGATTTAATAGGTAAAACGGCTTCTCTCTCCCTCTTTGAATAAGTAACCTTTCTTGTTTGGTTTCAGGGATTCAACTAGATGTAGCTTCACAATCTCTGGACCCAGAAGTTTTATTGAAAGTTAAATCTGAAATTGAAGAAGAGCTAAAATCCCTGGACAAAGAAATTTCTGAAGGTCTGTTTATTCTTACTTTTCTAATTAATTATCAGGCTTACTGTTAATTTAGTTTGATGTTCATAGTAAGATACTCTCAGCATTATATAAGTTTATTGGTGTGGGATTGTAAGGGTGAAACTAAAAGGCAGTCTTTTTCCTAGAAGATATGTTTATAAGATTTAATAACATTGAAGGAAAAAAGTAAGAAAGCTCTTCTCATTTTTGCATGGGTATATGCTATAGTTGCAATTATAATATATTATTTTATGGCCACATATTTTCCAAATATTTTGCACCTAACAGTACATCCTTTTTTTTTTTTTTTTTTTGGTACTGGGGATCAAGCTCAGGATTTTGCACTTGTCAGACAGGCACAGTGCCACTGAGCCACATCCCTGGCCCCATCGTACTTTTTTGTTTTTGGTACCAGGGATCGAACTCGGGACCTTGTGCTTGCGAGGCAGGCAGCACTGAGCTAAATCCCTGGCCCCCCATCATACTTTTTGTACACAGGGACTCACTACATAGCTAGCTTGGGCTGGCTTTGAACTCACAGGCCTCAGCCTCCCATATGCTGGAATAATAGAAGTGTGTTGCCATGCTCAGCTTGCATTCTGTTTTTATTATTTTATTTATTTATTTTTTTGGTACTGGGGATCGAACTCGGGACCTTGCACTTGTGAGGCAGGCACCAGAACCACTGAGCTAAATCCCCAGCCCATTTATTATTTTATTTTTTGAGATAGGGTCTTACTATGTAGTTCAGGCTGGCCTTGAACTTGCTATGTAGCCCTGGCTGGCCTCAAACTGACAATCCTGCCTCTGCCTCTCAACTGCTGGGATTACAGGTGTTCACCACCATTCCTGCCCATGCATCCTGTTTTTAAAATACATAGTTATCTTTCTTCTAACTACATGAAATTCTGTTTATTTTTCTACACTTTTTTTTTGGTAACAGGGATCAAACTCGGGACCTTGTACTTGCAAGGCAGGCGGTGGAACCACTGAGCTAAATCCCCGGCCCTGAAATTCTATTCATTAAATTAATATTTATTCAGTTGTTCCTTTATCATCATCTTATTTATTTATTTATTTATTGGTACTGGGGATCAAATTCAGGCACGGTGCCGCTGAGCTAAATCCCCAGCCCTGTTCCTTTATTATTCTTTTTTTTTTTTTTTGGTACCGGGGATCGAACTCCGAACCTTGCGCTTGCGAGGCAGGCGCCGGAACCACTGAGCTAAATCCCCAGCCCCAACCCCTGTTCCTTTATTATTGAAGGGAGCATTTGAGTTGTTTCTTGTCTTTCCTTTCCTAAATAACACTACATTAAATATCCTGGCTATCGTGGCTTTCCTCACAATATCTGCCCTATGTCTTCCAGGGTATTCTTTTACCTTGTTTTTTCCTCTTACTAGGCCCCACACTCACTCTGTAGAGCCATTTCTCTCTCAATCTTCACTTTTACTTTTTCACTTAAATAACACTGCATTAAATACCTTGCTCAGTGATTTTTTTTTTTTTGCCCAGTGATTTTTTTATAGCTTTATTGAGGTATGTATATTTCATGTACCCTAAAATTCACCCGTTTAAATAGTACAATTCAATTGTTTTTAGTCTAGTCACATAATTGTACAACCATCACTACAATCTAAATTTAGAATACTTTCAACACTCCAAAAAGAAACCCTATACCTATTAATAGTCATTTCCCTTTTCTACTTCAGTAGTCCCTAACTCCAACCCTACAGCAACCACTCATTTGCTTTTCATTTCTCTGGGTTTGTCTATTATGGACATACAAATAAATGGAATCGCACACTGTGTGGTCCTTTGTGACTAGCTTCTATTTAGTTTTCAAGGATCATTCATGTGGCGGCAGGTATTAGTACTTCTTACCTCTTATAGGTGGATAAATTTTCCATTGAGTGAATATATCACATTTTATCCATTCGTCAGTGGATGGATATTTAGGTTGTTCCTACTTTTTGGCTGTTATGTATAATGCTACCATGAGTATTCTTTTTGTTTTGTTTTTTGGTACCGGGGATCGAACTCGGGACCTTGTGCCTGGGAGGCAGGTGGTGGAACCACTGAGCTAAATCCCTGGCCTCATGAATATTCTTGTACAAGTTTTTAAGTGGACATATATTGCCCAGTAATTTGTTTTGTTTTTTTGAGACAGGGCCCTGCTATGTAGTCTAAGCTAGCCTCGAACATGTGATCCTCCTGCTTCCACCTCTCTTTTTTATTTGATTTTATTTTCCTGTAGTGCTGGGGATCAAAACCAGCGTTGCATGTGTGCTAGGCAAGTGCCTTACCACTGAGCTCCATGTCCAGCTTTGCCCAGTAATTTTTTTTTTTTGGTACCAGGGATCAAACTCAGGTCCTTATGCTTGCACAGCAGGCGGAGAAACCACTGAGCTAAATCCCTGGCCCGTTGCCCAGTAATTTTTAAGGAACAAATGAGAGAGAATATAAAATTTAAAAATAACTCCAAAACCTTAGTCTTCTTTTGTGTTCTTTTTATCAACATTTTAACTAAGTTTCCAGTTACCTCTTAAGCCTTTATGTGCATTCTGATGCACATTTTATTTCTCTGTAACAAAGTGAGCAGAAGGCAGAAAGGAATGAAGAATAGTAAAAGGCTTAAATATAGTTACTGAATCCCATATTATCCAGCACTGAACTTAAAATGGATACTCTTTTTTTGTTTGTTTGTTTTTGGTACCGGGGATTGAACTCGGGACCTTGAACTTGCAAGGCAGGCAGCGGAACCACTGAGCTAAATTCCCGGCCTCTTTTTTGGTTTTTTGAGACAGGGTCTTGCTTTGTACCTCATACTGGTCCTGAACTCACTGTGTAGCCCAGGCTGGCCTCAAACTCACAGTGATCCTCCTGCCTCAGCCTCAGCCTCCTGAGTGCTGGGATTACAAGTGTGCACCACCATGCCTGGCTAAAATGGATACTCTTTTTTTTTTTTGGTACCGGGGATTGAACTTGGGTCCTTAGCTTACAAGGCAGGCGGTGGAACCACTGAGCTAAATCCCCAGGCCAAAAATGGATACTCTTAAGCTTGCTCAGACAACAAAATTACTTGTGAACTTTGTAGTCATTTATATCTTTCTTAGAGATAGGCAAGGTGTAGTAAATTTTGCAGTCATGTACCAGCAAGCTTTAGATCAATGTAATAAATATGAAGATAATTGGCAACTCTTGGAAACAGGTACAAGCATCTGTATTGGAATTCTATACCCTGCATCTTGTTTGTATCTTGGAATCACAGTCATCCTGCCTGCTCTTCCTGCAGTCAAGGAATGGACAGATCTCTAACATGAAGTTAGGAATTAGAAGAGCTGGTGGGTTGCTGTTTGTTTATGGTATGGTATGGGATTGAGCCCAGGGCCTTTGCACTGAGCTTTATCCCCTGTTCTTTTTTGTTTTGTTTTTGGTACCAGGGATCGAACTCAGGTCCTTGTGCTTTCAAGGCAGGTGGTGAGACCACTGAGCTAAATCCCCGGCCCATATCCCCAGCTCTTTTTATTTTTATTTTATATATATATATTTGTTGTTGTTGTTCCCCAGCTCTTTTTGAATTTTTATTTTTTAAATATTTTCATTAAGTTGCTAAGTTACTTGGGCTGGGCTCAGATTTGTGTCCTCCTTCCTCAGTCTTCCTGAGTGCTAGGATTACCTGCATGTACCACAGTGCTTACCTGAAAAGCTGGTGGAAGAATAGGTTACAGCTCCTTCTTCCATACTTCCACACTTACACATATTTATATAACCACCATGATTTTAAATTTTGTTCATGTGCAGTAATTTTGAATCAGAAAGTTTAAAAAAAGTTTTAAAAAGGGAATGAAAGGAGTGAACTCATCTTCTAAGGTGGAATAAACTGATTAGAGTCTGGTTTAAGTGCCACATTTGTGAAGGTAAAAACAGAATCCTAAAAATAAATACTAAAAGAAAAGAGGGATGATAGAACTAGGAGTTACCTCTCATTTTTTTTATACTAAATTGGTCATTGTCATAAACTAAATTGATTAAAGTGTTTTTTGTTTCGTTTTGTTTGCTGAGAATGGAACACAGGACTGTCACATGCTGGACTACCACTATACTCCTAGTCCTGTTAGTATATTTTGATATTTCAATTTAGTTGCTTTCTTCCCTTAAAAAAAATTTTCCATTAAAACTCTTTAAGAAAAAACTCTAAATTTAGGATCTATCAATTTTTGTGTTCTAGACAAGATTAATATTTGTAACAATTATCTGACCCTTTTTTGTTGTGGTGGTACTGGGAATTGAACGCAGGGCCTCAGCCTGCTAGGCAAGTGTTCTATTGCTGAGCTATGTCAGGCCCTGTGTGACTCTTTGAAGTGGCTTATAACTGTTAACTTTTCCTGATAGTAGTTATCTTAATCCCATGGTTTGTTCTAGAGCAAGTTTTGATATTATTAATTAAATTAGGTTTCTCTTTTGCCCTGTCTTCAGCCTTCACCAGCACAGGCTTTGATCGTCACACTTCTCCTGTGTTCAGCCCTGCTAACCCAGAAAGCTCAATAGAAGATTGCTTGGCCCATCTTGGAGAAAGATTGTCCCAAGAACTGAAAGAACCTCTGCGTAAAGCATTGCAAATGCTCCTCAGCCAGTGAGTTACCATTGCTGAGGGGGAATGTGCTTCTCTTAAGTAGTCTCTGGAGCTCATGCCGCGCCAGATTGGTTAAGGCTTTGCTTTAGGTGAACAGTGTCACTTTTCTTCAATGTTTTTCTTTTGCTTTCCCAAAGCCCCTGTTTGTGTTTTGAGTGACAGCCTTGCTTCAAAGCAGTGATTTAACTGTTTGCCCAGATTTGGTGGTTTGTATTTACTTGTTAAGCTGTCAGATGTCAACAGATACGTTTATAACATTGTAAACACAAGCTATTGTACTTGTCCTGACCACCTTTTACTACCATTCCTTCTAGTGGCAGACACTACATAAAATGGCTCAGGTCTTGTGTATTGTAAGGTGAGATTAACATTATCTTGGTACCTCAGATATCTGTGTTCAATATTATATCTATATCCCAGATGTTGCTAAACTTTGAGGTTGTACATCTGCTCATGGAACTGTTTCTGTAGTCTTGTAGGCTTCCCTCATAGCTATGGTTCTGACCATATTAAAGCTAAAGAAGCTAGTAAAAATTAAAGATTAAAATAGAATCAATTCATTTGTTCTAAATCTGTTTTTTTGGTTTGTTCGTTTTTGTGGTACTGGGGATTATGGTACAGGCCCTTTGCAATTAACTACATTCCTAGCTCTTTTTTATTTTTTATTTTGAGACAGGGCCTTGCTAAGTTACTAAGTTGCCTAGGATGCTCTCAGACTTGCCATCTTCCTGCCTCAGCCACCCAGACTGCTGGAATTATTAGAATGTACCATGCCTGGCTTAAATCTTAAAAATCAATTTCCCCTAGAATGTTTTTTTACTGAAATTTTTAAGGAATTGGTATAAATTAGAGATGTATTTATCCTAATGAAGATTGACAACTTTATGAAATAGGAAAGGACTGAAATTCAGATGCCAATCACTGCTGTAATAAGGTAATTACTTTTAGGTAGGCAAAATTTGTAGTTTACTCTTTGTTCAAGGAAGTCATTTGGGTTTTAGGAAAGTTCACTTTGTTTCTGCATGTTCTGGTGAAATGAGCAAATGTAAAAACTCTAATTACACTTAGTAAGATTAAATGCACAATTTTAATTTTCTTTAAGATAAAAAAATCTAAAATACTTAAAAACTATAGGGATATGTCACTGGAATACTTTTCAAATTAAGGATGAGAGGAGTTGGAATAAATAAGGGCAATCAACTATGCCCTATTTTTAGCTTGAAATCTTACGATATAAAGTTCTTGAAAATAAAAAAAAGACAAGCAAAGTTCTGGAAGGCAGAAATTAGCGTTTCTGATAATTTGCATGTGAGTACTAGCCACACCAAAAACCCAAATTATTGGGTGGTGATAACACTCAGGTCCCACTTATTTGTTGAGGAACTTCAGATACTATATTTTAGCACTGGCTTCATGTATAAATTAAAACAAACAAAACAGTAATACCATATAACTGAAGAAATCAGTAGCTTAGATAATAGATTTGGTGAAAGTTACCTACAATCACATTTTGTGTGAAGTATTAATAGGCATGTAAAAAAGAGTGGGAGGACCCTTGCTTTTGTAGGATTTAAAAATTCCATTTCAAAGATATTTTCTGCTCTGACCATTCTGGTCTGATTTCTTCAGCCTATGATGTTTATGATTGATATAGCTATAACTTATTTGTAGCCTACTATATTAGGTTTTACATTTCTATATATTCATATTTTATATCATATACTATCATTTTACACATTAGGAAATCAAAGCTCAGAAAAGCTAAGAGTCTATCCCAAAGCCACATGACTGGCAAGCAGCAAGGTAGGAATTTACATCCAATTAGATCTGGCTCCAAAGGCCACACTACTCCCAGTTCAAGTTAGGATTCTGACACATGCCACCACAATGTCTAGATGCCACATGTGGCTAATGAGTGTCTGAAATGTCTGTTGTGCAGAAAGTGTAATATACACACTGGATTTCAAAAAGTTAACAAGGAAAAAGAGGCCTGGGCATGTAGCTCAGTGGTAGAGCACTTGCCTAGTGTGGGAGGTCCTTGGTTCAGTTCCCAGTCAGGGAGAGGAGGTAAAATATCTCAGTAGTAGGTTTTTTTTTGTACTGGGGATTGAACTCAGGACCTTGAGCTTGTGAGGTAGGTGAGATACCACCGAGCTAATAGTTTTTTATATTGAGCTTTTTGAAATGATATTTTGAATATATTTGCCTAAAATATATTATTACACTCTTTTAAATTCTTTTTTTAATGTGGCTGCCCAAAATTTAAAAATTATATATATGTGAGTCGCATTATGTTACTTAGGTAATTTTTATTTGTTGTTACTTGATTCTCTTATCAGTAATCCATGTATTTATCTGCAACATAGAAGTTCTACCAAATAAATTCTAAGTAATTATTAAAAAGTTATTAGAGGGCCGGGAATTTAGCTCAGTGGTTCTGCTGCCTGCCTCGCAAGCGAAATTTCCCAAGTTCAATCCCTGGTACCAAAAAAAAAAAGTTATTAGAGCTGGGCACATATAATCCTAGCTACTAAGGAGGCTGAGGTAGGAGGATCACAAGTTTGAGCCCAACCTGGGCAACTTAGCAAGACTGTTTCAAAAAAAAAAAAAATGTAGCTTAGTGCAAAAGCCCTGGGTTCAATCCCCATTACTGCAAGAAATGTTAACTATTTTCCCAAACATGCATCTTAGCCTATAGGATGCTTGGAAAACATGTATACCCAATAATGAAAGCCACATCTTATATAAAACAGTGTGTTGAATAGCCCCAGTCACTTCAACAACAGAATAGTGCTAGCATCTGTGTATTAACTCATCTGGAAATTTAGAATTTTCCTTTTTTGTGACACAGCCTTTTAAAAAAAATCCCTACAGGCCAGTGACATATCAGGCATATCGAGAATGTATACTGGAGACTGCAGTTCATGCCAGCGGCTGGAATAAGGTAGTAACCAAATTATCTTTACTCTTATGAGATTTTAGTGTGTTAATGATAAAGTACAGGAGGAATTGTTTAGCATTGTGCAACAGAAAACCCTTAGACCTCATTAATATATGAATCCATCTGTGTTGAGTGGGTACTTGTGGTTTCACTGGAGTTTCGGTTAATGCTGGAAAGTTCTTTGTGGCCTCACCATATGTGCCCCATAGTATGCCACCCTTCTTTTCTGTGTGCCTTGAATTTCCCACCATTTGTTCATTTCTCTGTGTTATACATGACGTTTGTCTCCAGATGGTTATTTGTCAGTGTGTGACTATGTCTCAGAGAAGAATAAAGGGTCTATTTGGAATTGCTTTTTTTTTTTTTTTTTTAATGGTACCGGAGATCGAACTCAGGACCTTTTGTTTGCAAGGCAGGCATGGTGCCACTGAACTAAATCCCCAGCCCCTTAAAGGCTCTATTTGGAAGATAGACTCTTCTGGTTCTCTTACATAATAATAGCATTTGTGTTTTATAGATTGCAAAGTATCTCATGTTGCATGTTTTTTTTTTTTTTTTTTTTACCAGGGATTGAACTCAGGACCATGCACTTGTGAGGCAGGCAGCTGAACCACTGAGCTAAATCCCCAGCCCTCATGTTGCATCTTGTTTGCTCATCACAATCATCCTTTTTTTTTTTTTTCAAATTTTATTCTTTTATTGGTACATTTTAGGTATATAATATGTTTACATTTATCATTGGGTGCTTGTACCTGTACATGATGTATCTTGGTTATTTTTTTCCCCATTACCTGTGCACCCTTCACCCCCTCCACCCTTCCCTATTTACCTAGATTTCATTTCCATTTTTTTTCTTTTCTCATAATTTTTCCTTTCCCTTCTTTTCTTTCCCCTTCCCCTCCTACCACCCCTACACCTTTGGACTTTTTCCTATTTCAAATTATCAATTATTCATTTTAATCATTTTAATCTTTATTTACACTTTCAGTTTCTCACACTAGAGAAACTATTTGGTATTTACATATTTGTTCTGATTATTTCACTTAAGAGTATGGCCTCAGTATGCATCCAATTAGCTATAAATGTCTAGTTTTTTGTGCTTTATGGCTGAGTAGTATTCCATTTTATTAAAAAACCACATCTTCTTTATCCAGTTTCCAGTTGATGGGCACTTGGGCTGTTTCCAAGTGTTAACTGTTACAGACTGTGCCGCTATAAACATGGGTGCACATATATCGCTGTGGTATGTTCTTTTAATTCTTTGGGGAAGATCCCCAGCAGGGGAATAGCTGGGTCAAATGGGACCTCTAGCCCTAGTTCTTTGAGGTATCTCCATACTGATTTCCACAGTGGTTGCACCAGTCTGCACTCCCACCAACAATGGAGAAGGGTTCCTTTCTCCCCACAGCCCCACCAGCATTTGTTATTGGTTGATTTCTTGATAGCAGCCATTCTTTCTGGGGTGAGTTGGAATCTCAGTGTTGTTTTCTTTTTTGGTACTGGGGATCGAGCTTGGGTCCTTGTGCTTGTGAGGCAGGTGGCGGAACCACTGAGCTAAATCCCCGGCCCTCAGTGTTGTTTTCATCTGCATCTCTCAAATGACCAGTGATGTTGAACATTTTTTTATTTGTTTGCTGCTTTTACTTTTTTGCCTGAGAAATGTCTGTTCATTTCAGATGCCCATTTTTGAATTGGGTCTTTGAATTTGGGGGGTCTGATTTTTTTTCAATTCTTAACCATCTTTGAAGAAGGCAGAATTTACTAGCTTTTGTTTTGTTATTTATTTACTTTGGACAAGAGACTAATGAGAAAAAAGAGATAACATTTTAGGATCTCTTCCCTAGTAACTATGGGAACTGGCACTGGAGCTAATGACTTCTGATGCTAGCCTTAGTGTTTTTTCTAATGTATCATACTACTTACTGTCCTAGACTTTATTGTCTACTTAGCATTACTTGAAAAGGGAGAGTTTAAGGGGATGTAATATGAGGAAGAACTGTGGCTTTGAGTGATTTGTTGCTAGGGATGAAAAAATTCAGTAGAATTGTTTTTACAGATAGCCGTCTCTACTCAGAGCTGTTCACACAGTCATCTGTATCCGTGGGGGTTTGGTCCCAGGACCTCTCTCAGACATCAGAATTCTTAGATGCTTAGTGCCTTATATAAAATGGCATAAATTAGCTCTACATTACTTATAATATCTAATATAATATAAATGCTGTATAAATAGTGTTATATATTGTGTAGTTCAGAGAATAATGACAAGGAAGAGTGTGCGTGTTCAGTACAGACACAGTTTTTTTCCCAAATATTTTGAATTCAAGGTTGGATGTAGAACCTGAGGATATGGAGGATCACCTGTAAATAGGTCTGCCCATGTGACCATATGTATCTAATTGATATATTTTAGGTATACAATCTGATGTTCAAATTGCAGCTTTTAAATTAAAAAAATTAACATAGTATGTTCTTATGTACAACATGCTGTTTTGAAGTATATATACATTATAGAATGGTTAAACCTAGCTAATTAACAAATATGGGGCAGGGGATTTAGCTCAGTGGTGCCACACCTGCCTTACAAGATCAAGAGCCTGAGTTTAATCCCTGGTAACAAAAAAACCCTCAAAAATTTGTTACTTCACATAATTATCATTTTGGGTGAGGCCATTTAACATCCACTCTCTTTACATTTTTCAAGAATGCAGTGTGTTGTCATTAGCCATCGTCATCTGCTATGAAATGAATCTCTTTGAATTTATTCCCTTTTTTTTGTTTTTTTTTTGATTTTTGTTTTTTGAGGCAGGGTCTCCCTTTGTAGTTCAGGCTGGGCCTGAACTCACTATGTAGCCCAGGCTGGCCTCGAACTCACAGTGATCCTCCTGCCTCAGCCTGCCGAGTGCTGGGATTACAGGCATGCACCACCATGCCCGGCTTTGAATTTATTCTTGCCAACTGTAATTATATAAGTTTTGATCATTGTTTCCCAATCTCCTTCTCCCTGTAACCACCCAGCCTCTTGTAGTCACCGGTGTAGTATTTCTGAGATCAACTTTTTTATTTTTTTATTTTTTTGGTACCAGGGATCGAACTTGGGTCTTTGCGCTTGCGCAGCAGATGGCAAAACCCCTGAGCTAAATCCCCGGCCCTCAACTTTTTTAAATACTAGTTTTGCTACAGACTAATGTGTGTATTTGGGCAGGTCAGTTAAGCTTTCTGAGTCTTCATTTTCTCATCTGTGAAATGGAGACACTTCTAGTGACTTCATTTTATTAGAATTAAATTAGATAATATATGTTAAATACTTAGTACATTATGTGGCATCTTATTATTTTGATTTATAATATCTGAAGAGAAACCAGCATATTATAAACACTGAGTAAACAGCAGCTATTGTACTAATTTTAATATATGTAAGGTCTTGTTCCCAAATACAGCCATGTAGGGCCAGGGATTTAGCTCAGTGGCACCGTGCCTGCCTCACAGGCTCAAGGGCCTGACTTCAATCCTCAGTACGGGGCGGGGGGGGGGGCACACCTCCAAATACAGCCGTGTGTTACCTAATGATGAGGGCATGTTGTGGGAAATGATCTCATTGTGATAACATCACAAGAGTGTATATACACAAACTAAGATAGCTACAGTGTCCCTAGGTGATAATCTTACAGGACCACTGTTATGTATGTGGTCTGTTGTTGACTGAAACATTGTACAGTTCATGACTGTTGTCACTGTTGTGCAGTTTTAATGTGCTTTTAGTACATATCTGTTTGCCTCATTTGTTTTTGGCATAAAAGAAAACACTCTCATACAAACATTTGAAATAGATTTGATGGTGTGATATTATTTTTTAGTATACCAAGCATCAATTACTCAGGTACCTACTATCGCTAGTTTTCCTCCCTTACTTTATATTCTGTCCTTTCACACCTGCCTAGTGACTAATATTATCAATTCTTTTATATCCTACCCTCCACCCTCAATCCTGAGGTTATTGTAAAAAAGCCTGAGTCAACCTTGGTCTTTACTATTTTTCTTCATCTTTCCTTTTTTTGCATTCCCATTCATTTTTGTCGCTCATCTGGATCAGGGTGCCAACTGTTGACTGTCAAGGCTGTGGCTTGACTACGTCATGTAAATGAAGGGTGACAATTAAAATATTACTTGCTTTGCTGAATTAGTCTCAGAGTTCTTGAGAGCTGAAAAGAACCTGAGTTATGATAAAGGCTGCTAAAATCTGCCCCTCCCTATTCCAGTTAAAATCGGAGCTGCTAATTTGAAGGAATTAGCTTGTCTTACATTTAGCATGATGTTTGCAAACATTGTCTTTAGTGTCTTGTTATACCACTAGTTGAAGCAAAACACCACAACATGCTGCAACTTCACCCAAAAGTAGTGTTTTTACTCTGCCCTTTGGTGTGGACATGTGTGCTGGGAATTGAAACAATTGAAGTTTTCGATAGACAAGCACTTCACCTGCCACCAAGCCATATGCTTAAACCTTAAAAAAAAAAATTTTTTTTTGGTACTGGGAATCAAACTCAGGGCCTAGCACTTGCCAGGCAGGTGCTGTGCCACTGAGCTACGTCCCTGGCCCAGCCCTTTTAAAATTTGAGTCAGGAAAAAAAATAAAATAAATAAAATAAAATGAAATTTGAGTCAGGGTCTTGCTAAGTTGCCCAGACTGGCCTTGAACTTGGAATCATCTTGCCTCAACCTCCCAAGTAGCTGGGATTTTTTGGGGGGGGCCGGGGTACCGGGGAACCTTGTGCTTGCAAGGGAGGCAGCGGCACCACTGAGCTAAATCCCCTGCCCCTTAGCTGGGATTATGTGCAGGCACATGGAGTCATACTCAGCCACTCTAACGTTTCTTTTTTTTTGATACTGGGGATTGAACCTCGAGACTTTGCACTTGCGAGGCAGGGAGCAGAACCACTGAGCTAAATCCCGGCCCAACTCTATCCTTTCTTGATTCAGTGGGTCATTAGCAAAAGGCCCATTGA